GATCTTTGATTTATCAAATCAGCATTGATGGCCTTCTTTATAAAGACTCCGTGTTTATTTTGAATAGTGGTTTTCAAACGGGTGATTTTTGACTCAAAGGGGATATTTGGCAATATCTTTAGATATATTTTTTAGTCATAACTACATGCTACTAGCAAGAAAGAATTAAAGAATTATTTTACCAAAAATATCAGTAGTGTTGGAGATAAAGAGACCCCGGGACCAGCAAATGGCACAATGGTTACATCACTGGACTCCCACATGACCGACTGCAATTTGAGTCCCAGACCTGGTAGCTTAAAACTCATGCTGAGAGTGTGTGCTCGTGTGCCCAAAATCCCAAGAGGAGAGTGGAGAAGAAGGGTTTCAGTTTGGCCATACCCCTGGGAGGTGATTTCTCACTTTCTGTCTCTCTGGCGAGTGCTCATGCCCTATAGCGAAAATCTCTTTAAAAAAGAAATAAAGAGACCCTGGGTTATATTTATAGGTATTGGGGGGGGGGGGGGGGGTGCAGATAATGTTGTAAATAACTTTAGGTTTTACCATACGGCATATGTGCTCTCTTAAGAGAGACATATAGAGAGGAAAGTGAGAAATCACCCGCTAGGGGAATGGCCATGTCACAGTCCCTTCTTTTCCATTATCCTATTGGGATTTGGGGCATGCGCACACACATGCCTGGTGTGATTTTTCAAGTCACCAGATCTGGGACTCAAACCATGTTCAGCCACGTGATAATCCATAGCTTTAACCACCATACCATCTGCTGGCCCCAGTAACTTTCTTTTTAAAATTTTGTTTTTTAGCATTTATTTATAGTATATTGATACATTAATAATTATTGATTTATATTTATCATCATGTTGATAATTTCAATGTTATTGATGTATTCAAATTTCAGTCTATCATTTTATTATTGTTTTCTGCTAAATTGTCTTTGTTTGGTTACTCTGTTGTACTTTTCCTGCTATCTTTTGTATTGTTAACATATTTTACTCTACCATTTTACTTATCTAGTGTGCCTATCTGTCTCTCTTTATGTAATTATTTAATGACTGCTCTAAAATTTTAATATAGAAAATTAACTTTTCACAGTTAGAATCAATGTTTTACCAGGGCCAGCAGATGGCGTAATGGGCTACATCACTGGACTCCCATGTAGTTGACTGCGGTTCGAGTCTTGGACCTAGTGGCTTAAACTCATGCTGGGCATGTGTGCATGCATGCCCAAGATCCGGAGAGAGGATGGAGGAGAAGGGATTATAGCATGGCCATTCCCCCCAGGGGTGATTTCTAGCTTTCTATCTCTTTGTCTCTCTCTGTCTTTCTGGCAAATGCTCGCGCCCTATGACAAAAACCTCTCCAAGAAAAACGATAGCAGTTGGGAAATGGAGAGTGCAAAATTTGGCTGCAAATTTTCAAAGAAAGCATTGTGATGGAAATGAGATTCAAGTTAGGTTCGGAAAAATAGAGCACTGGAGAGATAGATAGAGACCATTTCTAGGTGAACTAGAGCCAGACGTTATATAGTTATAAGTTAATCAGAATTGAGACATTTACACTCTTTGAGACATGCCTATTTGCTAGTCGATTATATTTTGGAAGTTAGAATACTTAAAGTTTTAAGCAGCTAATTTCATAATGGTACATTCTTAAAAGCATCTCACACATTAGCTTTGTGTTTTAACAATATTGTTGAGGGACCAACAAGTGGTATAGTGCTAAAGTTCTGAACTCCCACATGGCCAGCTGTAGTTCGAGTCCTGGACCCAGTGGCTTAAAAATCACACTGGGCATGTGTGTGAGTGTGCCCAAAATCTTGAGAAGAGAATGGAGAGGGGATTGCAGCATGGCCATCACACCTTGGGGATGGTTTCTTACTTGTCTTCTTCAGGGAGTGCACATACACCCTATGGGAAAAAATGTGTGTGTGTGTGTGTGTGTGTGTGTGTGTGTGTGTATTTGAATGAATAGGAGAACAGTTTCTTGGTTGCTATGATTCTTGAATATCTTACATTGAAATTTTGATTAGTAAGATTTACATAACTTCTTTCAGTTATAGCTAAACTTAGATTTGTTGACAATAAATTCTTATGTTTAACAAAGATCAATGGCATAATAATGAACATTAATCAGAGCTGAGATTTCATGTTTTTATTAAGTTTTTTTTTTGAGAGGTTTTCACTATAGGGCACGTGCACTCGCCAGACAGACAGAGAGAGACATAGAGACAGAAAGCGAGAAATCACCCCCCAGAGGGGATGGTAACGCCGCAATCCCTTCTCCTCCATTCCCCTATTGGGATCTTGGGCACGCATGCACACGCGCCCAGCGTGAGTTTTAAGCCACCGGGTCCGGGACGCGAACCACGGTCGACTACGTGGGAGTCCAGCGACATAGCCATTACGCTAACTGCTGGTTCCCATGTTTTTATTAAGTTTTATAGAATTGTTTTCATATGTTATTTATGTGTGTCATTTTAATTTCTTCGAGGATTATTTTAGCAGTCTAATAAACTTACTGTTCCTAAATGATGACTGATGTTTTTGCTATTATAACTTGGGCTAGTTTCTGGCCTAGTGCTAAGGCAGCTGGATCTCTCATGGTTGATTGCACAGTTTGAGTCCTGTACCAAGCAGCTTTAAAAACACACACAGTGGGTATACATGCATACCCCAAATACCAAAAGGCTGGAGAAATGGAGGGGAAGGGATTGCAGCATGACCATTCCCCATGGATGTGCTTTCTCTCTCTCTCTCTCTGTCGTGCTCTCTCTCTCTCTCTCTCTCTCTCTCTTTCTCTCTCTTTCTGTCTCACTGTCTTCAGTAAGCACGTGTACCTTCTGGCAATTTTTTTTTAAAAAGCTATTATAACTCTGCAGAAAATGTAGAATGTGAATGACTAAATATTTGCCTCAAATATTGTATATGAAAGCATTATACTCCTTATTTTCTTTTTTCATTTTCTTTTGGTATATTCTCATGGAGAAATAGGTTGGTTATTGAAAGCCTAATTGAGTATTCAGTAGATTTGGTTTTGAATACTATTGGGGCAAAGAATTTTTTTTGTAGAACAAATAGATCCATCAGTGTTTTCCCTTTAATAGTGAAATCAGCCATAGATACTTATAACTCATCTGGTTTAAGATCCTTTTTGCTATATAATTTCAGATTTACTATTTTTTTGGTGAACGAACAAATCATCTTTAAAATATTTACTTAATATCTACTATATACAAAGCATCACACTCAGCTTAGGTAGGACTAAAAAGTAATATGATACAGAGACTCAAGGATCTAGTAAGAAAAGAAAATAAATACTCAGATAGCCACAATATAAAGCAGTTTGCCACAGATGCCACGAGATCCGTAGGATTTCAGATAGCAGAGATTTTTTTGGTGACTGATTAGGGATGCTTTCATGGACTCCAGGAGCATTTGACTAATTCACATAGCTTTTAAATGAATATTAACATGGCAGTGTGATGTAGAAATCCTGAAATGATAGCTTTTCTAATGCCAAAGGTTTTATCTTTATAAATTGGGAAAATTATTCTAATATCAGTAAATGGTTCATATCTGAACATTACCATGAATACTAATTTAAGGTAAATAATGGTGCTTTTATAAATAAGTATTTTGTGTATAATGGGTAATTGATGTTTTTTATGTTTTTAGGCCTTGAATATTGTGGTTCCCTTCATGTTTAAATATGCTGTAGACAGCCTCAACCAGATGTCAGAAAACATGCTGAACCTGAGTGATGCGCCAAATACAGTTGCAACCATGGCAACAGCAGTTCTGATAGGCTGTATGTATGATTCTTTAATCCGTCTACAGGTGTTGACTTTAATCAAGAAGGTTTCATCATATTTGGACAGATGACCTTTACTGCCGCAAATACAACTTAACGGATGCTTATTATTTTATGTGATGTGTTTATTTATTTTTTGACATGTGGCTTTTAAAATTTCTTGTATCATAAACTTTTGTTTTGTATCATAACAGTAGCATTTTGCAAGTTCTAGGTAACAGTAGTATGAAATAAGACATTAAATTGGTAATAGCCACTTCTAATAATTAGGCGCTTTATAAGTTACTTTTCCAGTAAGATTAGTTATTTTCTTGCTGGTAGTGTTAACTGTTACATAAGAAATAGCTAAATAATGTTATATATGTACATTAATGCCTTATTAAAATATAGTCAGTAGATATGATACAAATACATCATTTGAAAAGAATAATTTGAATGCTATGTGTCACCATGCATTAGAAAGAACACTTTATAACTTTTGGTATATTCTCATGGAGAAATAGGTTGGTTATTGAAAGCCTAATTGAGTATTCAGTAGATTTGGTTTTGAATACTATTGGGGCAAAGAATTTTTTTTGTAGAACAAATAGATCCATCAGTGTTTTCCCTTTAATAGTGAAATCAGCCATAGATCCTTATAACTCATCTGGTTTAAGATCCTTTTTGCTATATAATTTCAGATTTACTATTTTTTTGGTGAACGAACAAATCATCTTTAAAATATTTACTTAATATCTACTATATACAAAGCATCACACTCAGCTTAGGTAGGACTAAAAAGTAATATGATACAGAGACTCAAGGATCTAGTAAGAAAAGAAAATAAATACTCAGATAGCCACAATATAAAGCAGTTTGCCACAGATGCCACGAGATCCGTAGGATTTCAGATAGCAGAGATTTTTTTGGTGACTGATTAGGGATGCTTTCATGGACTCCAGGAGCATTTGACTAATTCACATAGCTTTTAAATGAATATTAACATGGCAGTGTGATGTAGAAATCCTGAAATGATAGCTTTTCTAATGCCAAAGGTTTTATCTTTATAAATTGGTAAAATTATTCTAATATCAGTAAATGGTTCATATCTGAACATTACCATGAATACTAATTTAAGGTAAATAATGGTGCTTTTATAAATAAGTATTTTGTGTATAATGGGTAATTGATGTTTTTTATGTTTTTAGGCCTTGAATATTGTGGTTCCCTTCATGTTTAAATATGCTGTAGACAGCCTCAACCAGATGTCAGAAAACATGCTGAACCTGAGTGATGCGCCAAATACAGTTGCAACCATGGCAACAGCAGTTCTGATAGGCTGTATGTATGATTCTTTAATCCGTCTACAGGTGTTGACTTTAATCAAGAAGGTTTCATCATATTTGGACAGATGACCTTTACTGCCGCAAATACAACTTAACATTTTGGATGCTTATTATTTTATGTGATGTGTTTATTTATTTTTTGACATGTGGCTTTTAAAATTTCTTGTATCATAAACTTTTGAAAAATATCATAACAGTAGCATTTTGCAAGTTCTAGGTAACAGTAGTATGAAATAAGACATTAAATTGGTAATAGCCACTTCTAATAATTAGGCGCTTTATAAGTTACTTTTCCAGTAAGATTAGTTATTTTCTTGCTGGTAGTGTTAACTGTTACATAAGAAATAGCTAAATAATGTTATATATGTACATTAATGCCTTATTAAAATATAGTCAGTAGATATGATACAAATACATCATTTGAAAAGAATAATTTGAATGCTATGTGTCACCATGCATTAGAAAGAACACTTTATAATGAGATATGGGAGACATGAATGCAAGATGCTTTTAGTCAAGGTACTTTATTTTTCAGGATCTCAATTTTATCATGACTTATTTTGGGAAATTTGATCAAAAACAAATACTGTACATTTATCCAAACTGAGACTATATGAGCTACATATACTGTACATTTAAATTCACAACAGATTTATCCATGCTGAGACCATATGAGCTAATTTAATTTATTATTATTTTAATTTGCTATAGGACACATTCACTTACTATATATAAATAAAGAGAGAGAGAGAGAGCAAGCCACCAGGTCCAGGACTCAAACTGCAACCTGCTGGCCCCAGAGATATTTATTAAAGATATTTTAATTGGAAAAAAATTTTCCACATCTGAAGTCTGGGGGAAAATAACACTGTTAAAAAGGTTAGTACTCGGAACCAGCAGTTAGCGTAATGGCTATGTCGCTGGACTCCCATCTAGTCAACTGTGGTTCGCAGCCCGGACCCGGTGGCTTAGAACTCACTCCGGGCGCGTGTGTGTGCATGCCCAAGATCCCGAGAGGAAAATGGAGGAGAAGGGATTGCAGTGTGACCATCCCCTCTAGGGGATGATTTCTCGCTTTCTGTCTCTATGTCTCTTTCTGTCTGTCTGGCGAGCACACGCGCCCTATAGCGAAAACCTCTCAAAAAAAAAACTAAAAGGTTAGTACTCATTAGCTAGATGAGTTATACGTTTCTTTTAGTGTAAATATGCTGTTATATATTTCGTCCCTGAATACAATTGTACAAACATTTTCTGAGCCTTTGCCATTTTTACACCCACGATTCTAATGTTTTTAAACTCCATATTTTTCTTTTGAATGAATTGTTAGATGGTGTATCAAGAGCCGGAGCTGCCTTTGGTTAGTACTAATTAGCTAGATGAGTTATACGTTTCTTTTAGTGTAAATATGCTGTTATATATTTCGTCCCTGAATACAATTGTACAAACATTTTCTGAGCCTTTGCCATTTTTACACCCACGATTCTAATGTTTTTAAACTCCATATTTTTCTTTTGAATGAATTGTTAGATGGTGTATCAAGAGCCGGAGCTGCCTTTTTTAATGAAGTTCGAAATGCAGTATTTGGCAATGTAGCCCAAAATTCAATCCGAAGAATAGCCAAGAATGTCTTTCTGCATCTTCACAATCTGGATCTGGGTTTCCACCTGAGCAGACAGACAGGAGCTTTATCTAAAGCTATTGACAGAGGAACTAGGGGAATCAGTTTTGTCCTGAGTGCTTTGGTATTTAATCTTCTTCCCATCATGTTTGAGGTGATGCTTGTCAGTGGTGTTTTGGTGAGTAAAAAAGCATTTTTCATAACAAACTTTTATCTTACTTCTCCTTTAGTAGCAATTGAATATTTGAAGCTGTGTACTGCTGTATGCCTATGGGTTTGAAAGCGAAATTTCATGATACCAGAAAGATTATGCAGTTGTTTAGTTACTTTACAAGAGCAAGGAACTGTCCACATTCTTTAACATTTTATTATTGTAAAGAACTGTTTGTGGGACTAGCAGTTAGCATAATGGCTATGTCGCTGAACTCCCACGTAGTCGACCGCGGTTTGAGTCCCGTACCCGGTGGCTTAAACTCACGCCAGGTGCATGTGCATGTGTGCCCACAATCCTGAGAGGAGAATGGAGAGAAGGGATTGTGGTGTGGCCACCCCTCCTGGGAGGCGATTTCTTGTTTTCTGTCTCTCTGTCTCTCTCTTGTCTTTCTTGTGAGCACACGCACCCTATAGCAAAAGCCTCTCAAAAAAAAAAAGAACTGTTTGTTTTTAACTAGTGCTTGCAAGGTTTTTGTTTAGTTTGTTTTAAGCAAAAATTTTTGTATGTGACATTGAACTGATATGCTTAGAATATCTAGGTTTCTATTCACTTTTCATAACATTTTAGGCGATTTCATCTTATATAGTTAAAAGTGTGTGTGTGTGTACTGGGTTGTCTGAAAAGTCATAATGCATCACACACACACACACACACACACTTTCTCCTTAGACTTATTGTACTATTTTATCATTAGCTTTTGCTGATGGTATCAATGTGGCAAATACCTTTTGACTTTCTTCTCTTGTTACCTAAGTTAGATTTTCTTTCTTTCCCTTTCTTTCTCTCTTTCTTCTTAAGTTTTTGCCATAGGACACATGCACGCATTGGAGAGTAGAGAAACCATGAGAGAGAAAGTGAGAAATCACCCTTCCAGGGCAGTTGACCATACTTTAATCCCTTCTTCTCCATTCTCCTGGGATTTTGGGCACACGTGCACACATACCCGGTGTGATTTTCAAGCTGCCAAGTACAGGACTCAAACCACAGTTGGCCATGTGGGAGTCCAGCTGCTTAAACACTATGTCACCTGCTGGCCCCTAAATTTCATTTTCTTTTTTTCTTTTTTTTTTTTTTGATATAAGGCCTGTGTGCCTTTTTTTTTTTTTTTTGCTATAAGGCATGTGTGCTCGCCAAACAGACAGAGAGAGATAGAGAGACAGAAAGTAAGAAATCACCCCCCAGGGAGGATGGCCATGCCACAGTCCCTTCTCCTCTATTCTCTCAGGATCTTGGGCACACATGCACTTGCACCCAGCGTGAGTTTTAAGCCACCGGGTCCGGGACTCAAACCGCGGTCGACTACATGGGAATCCAGCGACATAGCCATTATGCTAACTGCTGATCCCTAAATTACATTTTCTAAGGTGTTTGATTTTTTTTTTACCTTTTATTCACATGCACAATTTTCCGCTGTCATTTTCTTTTATTAAAATGTTTTGACTGCAATTTGCATATTATAAACTGTTTAGCAAGCATAGTGACTCTCATTTCTTCTTTTGACTTCTTTAGTATTACAGATGTGGTGCCCAATTTGCATTGGTGACCCTTGGAACACTTGGTACATACACAGCATTCACAGTTGCAGTCACACGGTGGAGGTAAGGTATTCTCCAGAGGCCAAACAAGGTTCAGAAATGAGTTATACTTTTATAACATAGCTTCATACTTGTTCAAATCTTTGTCTTACAGAACTAGATTTAGAATAGAAATGAACAAAGCAGATAATGATGCAGGTAATGCTGCTATAGACTCACTGCTGAATTATGAAACTGTGAAGGTAATATGTTTAATTATACTTTCTTCTGCCTTTCAAACAGTACTAAGATTTGTTCTGCCATTTGATTTAACAGATGATGTAAGTTAGAGCTTTAGATGAGAATAAAATCTCTAGTTGTGACAGAGCTCTACCACTTTATTGTTTTTCTTCTATATAGAAATTGCCCTTTCTTGGGACCAGCAGTTAGCGTAATGGCTATGTCACTGGATTCCCACGTAGTTGACCACGGTTCGCATCCCAGACCCGGTGGCTTAAAACTCACACTGGGCACGTGTGCGTGCGTGCCCAAGATCCCAGGAGAGAATGGAGGAGAAGGGATTGCAGCATGGCCATCCCCCCTGGGGGGTGATTTCTCGCTTTCTGTCTCTCTCTCTCTCTCTGTCTGTCTGGTGAGCGTGTACCCTATAGCGAAAACCTCTCCAAAAAAAAAAAAGAAATTGCCCTTGCTTTCCTCCTCAATTTTTGCTTGGTACCATCAGAATTTTATCTTATCAATGAATTAATTTAAATGATTTTAAATATATAGTTAGCATTTTGATTCAAAATGAACATTAAGCTAATCATACTGGCAAGTAAGTTCTTGATCTCTTTTCCTCAGAGTGTCTAGCATAGTGTTTTTTATTAATTCATTTATTTGTTCATAGTTTTCTATTTAACAAATAGTTACTGAATGCCTCTTGTGTGTAAAACACTATGCTAAGAGCTATGATGGAGGAGGGTGGTAAAAAAAAAATGATTACTGTGTAATCCCTGCCCTCCAAGAATTTGATAATCTAGTAGGAGAATTCAGGTAAGTATGCAGTTGACTCAATAAAATGCATAATGTGGTCAAGGCAGTGGAATAACCAACTCAGAATCTCAGGGGATGAGGGAAGGGCTTTGTGAAGGAAGTGTTGAATGTTTTTTTTTCCAGATATGAGTGTGAGTTAGGTAGGCATTCAAGAAATGTTTGTTGGGTGAATTTTGTGAACTTTTCAAATAAAATCTGTTGTGGAAAACTGCGGAAATGCCATAGTCTACTGAACTGAAAGTCAGTTTTTAAAATAGAGCCTGTAAAACCAAATTGTGTCTGTACATGAAGTCTGATCAAAAGTATGTTAATCATTTAAGAGATTAAATTCTAACTATATTTCTCCACAGTTACAATTTTTATATTTTTTGTAGTATTTTAATAATGAAAATTATGAAGCACAGAGATATGATGGATTTTTGAAGACCTATGAGACAGCTTCATTGAAAAGTACTTCTACTCTGGCTATGCTGAACTTTGGTCAAAGTGCTATTTTCAGTGTTGGTTTAACAGCCATAATGGTGCTTGCCAGTCAGGGAATTATGGCAGGGGAAGGATCTGTGGTTGCCACGTTTATAGACCGTGTAACTTTTATAATTAAAGATTAATGAAAGAAATGTATATATTAGTCTTAATTATAAAGGATGGTCGATGACATGCTTTAACATTCTTGAAATGATTACCTTTTTGAAATAGAATGTGTTTTCTTGATTATTTGATTTTTTTTTTACTTCCTTTTGTTTAGCAAAGGTTTTCTTATCAGTTGTGATTATTCTTTATGCATTTCATGAGTCTACAAGTTGATTCTGGCATCTAGTATTTCTCTTTTTTTAGAATTTTTTTATTTAAATTTATTTATTTACATTCATTCACTGTACATCATTTCAGCATACAAAAATGAAATTTTCCATCCAGAATACACTGTATATTGGCTCAATCAAGCATATCAACATATGTGTTATTGTCAACAAATAATTTTCCATTTCTTGTTTCCTGTATATTTTGCTTTTATCCCCATCCTTGATTACCTATCTCTCACCCTCTGCCATCTCCCACCCTCCTCCCACACTGTCTCTGGTATCTATGATTGCTTTCTATGCCTTTCCCCCACCCCCATATTTTATTGATTCACTAAATATCTTAATTAATCTAAATATTTTCAATAGCAAGCTCAACTGATATACACATATCCATGAACACAAGTCTGATTTTAGACATAAACCTCAGTGAGTAGAATGAACATACTATAAAGTCGCACCTAACTGGGACTATATAACTTACTGTAGTCATCAAATAGGTATTTTTAATGCCTTTTTTTTTTAATTCAAGAAAAACAGTTTAAGGTTTTTTTTCTGAAACTTTTTTTAAACTTAATTAATTTATATTCATTCCCTAAGCATCGTCACAGTATACAAAATGTGATTTCCCATCCAGAATATACTGCATAGTGGCTTAATCATACATGTTATCATCAATAATTTTCCATTTTTAGTTTATATGTATGTATATGTACATATATTTATTTATTTATTTTATCCCTATTTCTTACCCTCTGCCTTTTCCACCCCCTTCTCACACTATCTCTGGTGTCTTATTCATCAATATTATTTAATTTGACCAAAGAGAGACAGAGAGAGAGAAAGAGAGAGAGGAAAAGTGAGAAAACAAGCTGACAAGTCTGGGACTCAAACTGTGCTCAACCGTGTGGGAGTCCAGCACCTTAACGACCACGCCTCCTGCCAGCCCCATGGCACCTAGTATTTCTAATTTTTTTTTTTTGTAAACCTGAAAAGCAATGTATTTAATAATTTACTTAACATTTAATCCAAAGTACTAAAATGTGAATAATCCTTTTTCAGAACTATCATTTAATCTATTCATTTTTTCATTTGTAAGACACTGGAAAAGTAAATAATGTGTGTCTCTTTTCTGTAATATGCCCTCCTACTAAGAGGATTCGTTCATTCACTGTGAACTTAATATGTGGTTTATTATTCTCAGTCATGATATCCATTTGCTCCAAATTTTTATTATAACTTGTTATTGACATATAATAGTACTACATATTTTTGGGATACAGTATGATTTTTTTCCAATACATTAATATAATTTCTAATTATCAAATCAGGGTAATAAGCATATCCATCATCTCAAACATTTATCATTACTTTGTGCTATTTTGAAATATACTTCAATTGTCACCAACTATAGTAATCTACTGTACTTTAGTACTCTAGAACATATTTTTCTTTTTTTAATTAATTTTTATTTATATTGAATCACTGAACAGATTTACAGTGTACAACATGGGTTTTCCCAGTATGTATATGGTATATATCAGTCAAGTCAAAGATATTACCATATACATTATCATCAACAGATATCTTTTCATTTTTGGGTCTATTAAATGTTTTGTTCTGGGACCAGCAGTTAGCGTAATGGCTATGTCGCTGAACTCCCATGTAGTCAACCGTGGTTCAAGTCCCAGACCCGGTGGCTAAAACTCATGTGCGTGTGTGCCCAGGGTCCTGAGAGGAGAATGGAGGAGAAGAGATTGCAGTGTGGCCATCCCCCCTGGGGGGGTGATTTCTTGCTTTCTGTCTCTTTGTCTTTCTGGCAAGCATACATACGCTATAGCAAAAACCTCTCAAAAAAAAAAGTTTTGTTCTTTCTTTCCCTGATCCCCTTTCTCTCACCCTTTATTATTCACCCCCTTCTGTAATGTCTGTAGTATCTACAGTTGGCCTCCCTGCTGTTATACCTTCCATTCTTTCAGTTTCTGCTGTCGAGTGCATACATTTGGTATATATTAAGTGAGGATATACAATGCCTGTCTTTCATAGTCTGGCTTACTTCACTTAGCATTAAATTTTTTGTATTTGTCCACTTTCTATGAAATGCCAGGGTCTCATTTTTTCTGGCAAAGTAGTATTCCAGAGAGTACACATTTTTTTCAACCCATTCATCTGTTCTTGGACATTTGGGTTAATTCCATGTCCTAGCAATTGTGAATAATGCTGCAATAAGCATGGATGTGCAAGTGTTTTTCTGACTGAGTGTTTTCCTATCATTTGGGTAGATACCTAAGAGGAGAATTACTGGGGCGTATGTTAGTTCTATTTGTAGGTTTCTGAGTAACCTCCACATAGTTCTCCATGGTAGTTGTACTAGGACGGTCCCCTGTTAACCACGGCCTCACCAGCACTCATTATTCTTTAATTTTTGAATCTTAGCTATTTTGACTGAGGTTCAGTGGTAGCTCATTGTGGTTTTGATTTGCATTTTCTTTGTAAGAGATATTGAGCATTTTTTTCATATAGAACACATTCTTATCTTTCTATACTCTTTTTTTTGTTCTTCTTCTTTTTATCTCATTCTTATCTACCTATACTCTTTTTTTTGTTCTTCTTCTTTTTCATTGTTTTTATTATGTCTATTAACCAAGTTCTCCCTATGTTCCCCACCTCTTATCCCTTCCTAGCTTCTGGTATCCCCCATTCCCTTCTCCACTTCTGTGCATTCTGGTAATAGCTTAGCTTCCACAAGTGAGAACATGCAGTATTCGTCTTTCAGTGCCTAGCTTATGTGACTTTGCACATAATTTTGTCCAAATTCATCCATGTTGTGTAAATGACAGTATTTCATCCTTTTCTGGCTGAATAATACCCCATTATACATTCCATATGTAATATTTTATTCCTTTTTTAAAAAATTCTCTTTTACACTAAAAGAAACTGACTAATGTCTTAGGAGAGATTTTTAGCTTTATGTTTCTATCCTAACTTATACCACTCTTGTTTTTGTGTATCATATATAGTTTACATGATACAGATGGAGTTCCCCATTCCACTTATTATATACCAAGTTCCTTATATTGTCTAAATGATAGATTAGATGCTTTGAAATTGAGTAGGCCTTGGGGCCGGCAGGTGGCATGGTGGTTAAGGGTGCTGGACTCCCACATGGCCGACCATGTTTTGAGTTCCAGACCTGGAGGCTTTCTCTCTCTGTGTGTCCCTCTCTGGAATTATTAAAATAATAATAATAATAAATAAGATAAATAAAATAATTCTTTTAAAAATAAAATAGATAAAAATAAATTTTTAAAAAAGAAATTGAGTAGGCCTAAAAGTTACTGATTATATATATTTTGCTGTTTCATAATAACAGGCTATAAATGCCTCTCTCTTAAACTTGAGAAGTTTGTAGCATTCATCTAAAATATCCTTTTTATTTTTTTGCTTTTGCCAACTGCGTGTTAAGGTACTCTTACCGTTGGAGACCTAGTAATGGTGAATGGACTACTTTTTCAGCTTTCATTACCGCTTAACTTTCTGGGAACTGTATATAGAGAAACTAGACAAGCGCTCATAGATATGAACACCCTGTTTACTCTACTCAAGGTAGACACACGAATTAAAGTAAGTAATCTATATTCAGAAATATGTGCACACCATCCCATTAATAGGATTGTTTTAGGGGAATATCATTTTATCACTGTTAGCAAAATTTTTTTCTTATGAGAATTGGGCTATCATGTGTATCAAGAGGTTGTTACAGCTTTTAGTTCTATGTTTGAAAATCTTACAGTGTTAGCAAATAAAATTATATCTGGAAACTAAAGTTTGAAAAATTGAATTATTTGTACTTACACTGAATTTGCTCTTTCTAATAATGATGCAGAATATGTGACTGTCTCTCTTTCCATCCTTGGTCCATTTATTCTCCTGATAATTAGCCCGTTCTCTCCCACCTCCCCAAAAAAGTTGCTCAGAAGCAAGAACATTCAGGATTTTTTTTACCTTAACAGTAAGGAGTGAAAAAAAAAATCTTCAGAAACACTGTTGGATGTGATCAAACTCCACTTGTAAACCACCTTTTTCTCCATTATTTTCCTAATTCTCTCTGTGAATTAGAAAATTGTCTGTATACCAGTACTCTAGGTAGTGTGTAAATGACTTTTTTGTTTTCTCTTCCCTGATAGGACAAAGTGATGGCACCTTCCCTTCAGATCGCACCAGAGACAGCTACTGTGGCCTTTGATAATGTACATTTTGAATACATTGAAGGGCAGAAAGTCCTTAATGGTATAACTTTTGAAGTCCCTGCGGGGAAGAAAGTGGCCATTGTAGGAGGTAGTGGGTCAGGGTAGGTTATTTCATTTTCTATAAAATTCTGCATTATTTTTTGATGATTCCCAATGTAATTTTTAACTTATCATAATAAAACAATTACTGTGATTTAACACAGGGGTTCCCTAATGCCGACAAGAGCTAAATAACCTTTTCTCATCTCCAATTTCAGGAAAAGCACAATAGTAAGACTATTGTTTCGCTTCTATGAGCCCCAGAAGGGTAGCATTTACCTTGCTGGTCAAAATATACAAGACGTGAGCCTGGAAAGCCTTCGGAGGGCAGTGGGAGTGGTACCACAGGTATTTAAAAACAAAAACAGAAACAATATCATTTTTTGGGAATATTTATTAAGTTGGTCAAGCCGTACCTACAATAATCAGAACCCAAGAAGTAGCATATGCTAATGAAGCAGGTAGTATTAGGTCCTACAGATAGATATTCTATTACTAAGAGGAATTTTTTTCTAAAAAAAGAAAATGAGTAGAAATGTAAAAGATTTCTAAGCCACCTTAAAATGATAGCATAATAGAGTGGAAAGAATGCATTCTAGAGTCAAACAGACCTGATTTAACCCATGGTACTAACCCATGCTCTGACTTTCATTGGCTCTGTGGCCTTGAGCCTGAATTTCCTCATCTATAAAATAAAGATACCATTTATTTTATAGGACAGCATTATTACTATGGATTACAAATAATATGTGTAAAGTACCAGGAGTATTGTCCATGACATACTTACTCAGTAAATGAAAATTATTATTGCAATTTTGAAGTTTTCAGCTTAGTGAATTTATAATAATTACAAAGTAGTTTGGCTGCCAACTTGAAGTTTATATGTATGGTTCACCACTGTACTGTCAGTACCAAGCATGGTGCCTGACCCCATAGTAAGCATTTAATAAACATTTTCTGAACGACTTTGTTGGGGAGGTAGGATAAATTCAATGTAATATCTGAGAAGACAAGAAATAGATATCTTTATAGAATGTTAGGTTTTCTTATGTTGAAAACTTATAGAGAGATCTGAGAATTAGCTGCAGCTAGTATTTGTTAGTAGGTTAATTCATGGAACTAGAATCAAATCCATATCAAAATATGGGGAGAGAAGGAGAGGAACTAGGAAAGTGAGTAGACAGGGTTATGAAGCTTGTGAAAGGTCCCCAAGTGCTGCATCTGTGGTACTAAGATTACTATTCATAAGAGGGAATATATAACTTTTAAAAAGAATGAGATAGATTTCTGTTACTGACATGAACAATCTCTAGGATATGTTAAGTGAAAAAAGTAATTTGTAAAATATGTATAGAGTTGCCCTGTTTGTGTTAGGGGAAAAAGCATGTGTTTAGGCATATAAATGCATAGGAAAAATCTGTAATGATACACCACAGATTGTTCATGTTGGTTAGATCTGGGAAGGGAAATGGGATTACAGAAATGAGAGAATGATGAAAGGGGCTGAAATATATTTTTACACTTTATGTCTTTATGTTTTTACTATTGTTTGAATTTTTATAATGAACATAATAGAAATATATATATATAAATCTACTTCAGGATGCTGTTCTCTTTAATATTACTATTTACTACAACCTCTTATATGGAAATATCAGCGCTTCTCCTGAAGAAGTATATGCAGTGGCAAAATTAGCTGGACTCCATGATGCAATTCTTCGAATGCCACATGGATATGACACCCAAGTAGGGGAAAGAGGACTCAAGCTTTCAGGTGATCAAAGATTTTAGACCTATCCCCTCACTTGTATAGTCCTTTTAAACTCCAATTTGTCAGAGCCATTTTTTAGAAAACATAACAACAGAGTTCAAACCTAGTGTTCATCTGGTCACATTTCATGAGGTTCCCAGCCTACCTGCCTATCATTGTAAATAATTCAACATACCTGAGGTAAGTTCTCAAGTCAAGCAATTTTTTTTTACTTGCAGCCAAAAATACTATAGGTGCTTAATATTAAGTAAATTATCCAAATATGATCAAATGTCAATTTAGTAATTTCATTAATTAATGTTACTATGAAGATCAGAGATGAAAGCCAAGATCATTGTTTACCTGGAAAAATAGCAAGATTAAAGAGAAATACTAGGTCATTGGGAAAGTCATGATGTATTTTCCCATTTTGCTATGCAAAAAACTTTCCTGACCACCCAACAATTTAATAGCAAATTGTGTATTCATCATTATAATTTTCTAGATCATTAGAGAATGTTTTCAATACTTTAGACTTTTTTTTGCTTGATCTTTCTTATGCTTGATCCTGTTAACTGCTCCACTTTCTATACAGCCAGCTTCATTTTCTTATCTTTGTTGGTTCAGTGATCAAGGAAACTTGGGGGCTTATGTATTTCTATGTAAGTGTTTAATTATTACTTTGCTAGGTTTAAGAATGAATTATCCTAAAACAGCATTGAACTGTTTTTGAGGATCTATAAAGTTGTTTCTTTGCCCCAAATAATTTGACTTCCAAAAGTATGATACTTAATGCCCAGAAGTATTTAATGTAACTCATACAAACATACTACATCCTTTGTGCTTATTCTTTTTTTTCAATTTCTTTTATACATTCCATCACATTATTTAGCTTGCAAAGTGAATAGTCCAACATGTGTACATTTCTCACCAATCCAGTTGACAATACTATAAAGTTATCTTCAACAGATAATAACCTATTTCTTTGTCTCATAAATGCCTTGCCTCTCTATTTTTCTCCTTAATATCCTTCCTCAGACTTTTATTCTAATTTCATTTAGGGGAGAAATACATAGAAAAGGGATGGGAGTAAAGCAAAAATAGAATGAAGAATACTCTGCATGAATGTTAATAAATCCTCACTCTTTATTACAAACTAGCTTCATTTTTTCACAATATTTATTAGGTCTGTACTATGTGAAAGCTGCTATACTAAGTGATTTAAGAGTTAAAAATATGCATAAACCGTCCTGATTTCAAAGAATTTGCGTTCTATTAGAAAGTTTTGTCTTTCTCTGATAATATAAGATACCTGTGTCATTCCAGTCTACCTTTACACTTTACCACTGTTCTTAATAGAAGTACTTTTCAATAAACTAGTATATCCTCAAATTATATGTTCATTTGATGATCCATTTAGTGATCCCCAATTCAGCAAGTAACATAGACTAGCCCTCTCAATGCATGACTTTATCTCAGTTAATTGTGTTGCATTTCATTATTTTCTAATCTTTTTTTTTCCTTTCTGCCTGTGTTTGGGAGTAGGAATGGATAAAGAAATTTTGTTCTCACCTAATCCCTGTTGCCTCAGAGTCAAACTTCTAAAAGTGAACCATTTATTATTTAGCATATATGCTAATTATGTTAGAGAACATGCAGACACTTCTTTTTTTAGAGAGATTTTTGCATGCTCTCATCATAGAGACAGACAGAAAGCAAGAAGTCAATCACCCCCCAGGGGGAATGACCACACTGCAATCCCTTCTCCTTCATTCTCCTCTCAGGACTTTGGGCACACACGTACGTGTGCCCAGCATGAGTTTTAAGCAGCCTAGTCTGGGACTGGAACTGTGGTCAAGTATGTGGGAGTCCAGTGACATAACCATTACGCCATCTTCTGGTCCCAAGAATACACAGATACTTCTACAAGTTCTAAAATATTATTGAATAGAGTTAAAGCTGAGTTAGTTTCCACTTGAAATTCAAGAGACATGTCAAAACTGATCCTTACTCTGGTTATCTACTTCTTTGAGGTGCTCTCTGCTCTTGGATTGATGGGTAGGCAGGCAGACAGTTCTAGCATGGTGCCTGTTCTACTTCCAGCTATAGTTCTATATAAGATCTTATATCTACAGTAGTCCCAGTGATAAAAGAAATATTTTACTAAGTATTTTTACTATTTATGTAGGAAATAAATATTTCCTAAACATTTATTCACTGTATTTAGGAATAAATGTAGGTGTGTACATTACAATAGGAATAAAATTGAACTGAGAGTGAGAGCCAGGCCAAATTCTGCTGAAATTTCCTCTGTGACCTTGAGCAAATCACTTAGCTTTACTGGGCCTCTGTTTCCTTTCTGTTTTAGAAAGTTGTTCTGCTAGATACCCTATAACAAAAAATTAAAGTGAAGTAGGAAATATATACCATTAACTTTGAAGACTACTGTGAAAATAATAACTTTATGTCTAAAATCATCCTCGAGAATACTACCTGAATGGTAATTTTTTATGCTAAGAAATAAATTTAGATAATCATGTTTCATGTCTTAAAAGTTTTCAAATTTTATATATTGTATTTGGGTTTTTTTTTGTTTTGTTTTGTCAATTCTCTGATATTGAAATGTTTCTGAGATTGCTGTTCATTGAGAATTACCTATATTAACAAGTAACACATATTGTGAGCATATTTCTGGAAAGAAGAATAATTGTGCAGTCAGAGTTGTTATCTCTCAGATTCTCATTCTTTTCACCTGACACAAAGTCAGAATTCAATATTTATGTTCCAAGAAATATAATTTGCCAAATGATATCATGTATGAACTTAGATTCTACAAGTCAGTAAAACAAACAATAATCAGGAGTATGGATCAAGTTGAAGGTAATATTTAGTGATTATAATAGTGGAAATACAAGAAACAGAAAATATGTCTATGCTTTGCTTCCTTTAACTAAATTGTTTCTTTACCAGGAGGAGAAAAGCAAAGAGTAGCAATCGCAAGAGCCATTTTGAAGGACCCTCCAGTTATTGTCTATGATGAAGCCACTTCATCATTAGATTCAATTACTGAAGAGGTAAATGATGATAAAAATAATAAATTCTTTCATATTTATTTTTTATCCTTGGAAGTTTCAGTATATGGCTACATCACTTTGTATTTTGAATGAACTTTAATAAGAGGTGCTATAGAGCAAAATACCCAACTTTTTTTCTCCAACATGGCAAGTGTTGATGTAAGAGCCAGGTTGTCCTGAACCAGATACCACCGTGGTATGTCCATTTGCTGAGGTGTCTCCTTTTGGAACCATGTGACACTGTATACTGCGTTACTTTTGCATCTTGTGAAGATATATGAATTGCCTATTATGCTGATGAAGGCAGAAGATTTTAGTCTGTCTCCTGTTGTACTTAACACTCATTAAAACCATGTAAATGATTCAAAAAAAAAAATAAAGGGAACCAGCAGTTAGCGTAATGGCTATGTCGCTGGACTCCCACGTAGTCAATCGCAGTTCGCATCCCGGACCTGGTGGCCTAAAACTCACGCCGGGTGCGTGTGTGTGCGTGCCCAAGATCCTGAGAGGAGAATGGAAGAGAAGGGATTGTGGCGTGACCATCTTCTCTGGGGGGTGATTTCTCGCTTTCTGTCTCTATGTCTCTCTCTGTCTGTCTGATGAATGCACACGCCCTATAGCAAAAACCTCTCCAAAAAAAAAAAACATGTAAATGATTATGACACTTGTGGCACTATGAATATCAGAAAACCTTTTACTTATCATGGAACAACTCACTGAGGTGAAAGCTAGACATATACAACATACAATGTTCATATCAATTTATATTCATTTCATAGGAAATGCTTTGAAAAACCACGATTTTGTGACACTACCCAGCAACAATATTAGACTTCATAGTAACATTGCATACAAAAGTCTCAGCAGCAATAATAATTTCATTAAAATATCCCCATAATCTATTAATAGACAGATGTTATTTGTCAGTTGCCTCTTCACCTTCCTTTTAATTTAATGCACAGTATAAACCTCATGTTGAAGGATAGCCTAATTTTATTTTTAGACTGCATGACATAATATTTGGTTATGGAATTGAGTTTCAGGATACATTATTTGATCTGTAGCATATTTTTTAACAATAATTTTAAGTTAATTAGTTAGCATGGGGATTTATTATATTTAAAGTGAACCTTAAGGAAGACCAGACCTATTCATAGGAACCTGCTTACAAGAACTTCATACCTAAAAATGTATCATCTTATCACAAATTAAAAGTCCTACTAACAGCCTATCTGCTGTGGTGTAGCAGCAATGCAAATGTCCTACAAAGCTGGAAGCCCTATGGCTACCTGCCTGTTTGAGTCCTCAGGTTGGCCAAAAAATGTGCTGTGTATGCATGCAGGCACTTAGGATCCTGAGGCACTAAACAAACAACTAGAGAAGGAGGATCGTAGCATGGCAAGACTCTGTTAAGGGTACTTTTCTCTCTTTCTCTGTCTTTCCCTCTCTCTTCCTCTTTCTCTCTCATGCATGTGGTACCAAAGTCCTACTAATCATCATTATTTGGGTCACATAGCTTTATTGTATTAGCATAGCCTATTAAGAGGTAACATAGACTGCCCCCAAGGGAAGGAGTCACCCGAGGGTTTAATGAATTTTAGTGGACCTTTTTAAAAGGTCCAGAATACTCAGTAGGATGCCAGTTTAAGTTCATAAGAGTGGGGAAAAAGAGTTCCCACAAACATTACAGTTTTTCTTAGAATTGCCCCTACACTTGATTACCATTCTGCCCTAGTAAAATATAAGATTTCTTTTCCTAGGTAGCCATTAGCTCTTGATAATTTTATAATCTTTTATTAATAAAATGTTTAGAAACATTTGTAGGAAGCCATTGTTATTTCCGTCCCCTACACTGCCATTTCCATCTAGTTGTACTTAGACCCTGGCTTCTAAATATAGTTGAATACACACACACACACACACACACACACAGTCCTTTTGTATTTTTCAGGCAGCAGACAAAAATGTGTTTTCCAGAATGCATTAAGAAGTCAGGCCATTTGAAAAAGAGGTTTCATCAAATTAAACATACATGGTTGTCAGGACCAACAGGTGGCCTAGTGGTTGGGGCATTGGAATCATACATGATTGACTGCGGTTTGAGTCCAGGGGCTGGCGACTTGAAACTCATGCCAGGCACATGTGTGTGTCCCCAAAATCCTGAAAGGAGAGTAGAAGAGAAGGGATTGTGCCATGGCCATCCTCCCATTGGATGATTTCTCACTTTCTATCATTCAATCTCTCTGGTTAACACATGCTCCCTATAGCAAAAATCTCTCTCAAAATGGTTGTCTTTTTTTCCTCTCCTGTCCACTGAGTTTGAACTAAGGAAAAGCAGATGTCCCTGTACCCTTCAGGTCTCCCTGTCTTTGTTTGCATTATTTTGAATTTATGTGCAGCCTATCACTTAAATCTTCCCTCATTTTAGTCTTCTCATTGATAAACATGCTATCCGACTGTGCTGCAACTGGAGTTGTTTATTTGTTTGCTTATTTTTTTTACAAGAGATTTTTGCTATAGGGTGCATGTGCTCACTGAAGAGACAGAGAAAAAGTGAGAAATCACCCCCTGAGGGGATAGCCACACCATAGTCCCTTCCCCTCCGTTCTCCTCTCGGGATTTTGGGGACACATACACACTCACCGAGTGTGAGTTTCATCCGCCAGATCCAGGACTGAAACCACAATCAACCATGTGTGAGTCCAATGTCTTAACCATTATGCCACCCACTGGCCCCTGTTTGCTTATTTTTAAATATGGAAGATATACAGATTCTCTCAGGCTTCGTAACTTAGAGAAATGTTGCCTATTTTAACAATTATTTTTTCCAATAATGTCGATTATATGGTCCTATTTGCCTACTCTCTTTGCTAAGTCTTATCCTCTTCTATTTAGCAATTATTAGATTCTGTCATATGCTAGACACTGATATAAAGTTTATACAGTAAAAGATTCATTTGTATTTTATATGTCCCCTTAGAAAATGTGTGGTTATTTTTAATTTATATTTATCTAACTGGTAGATCTTTTTTTTTTCCCTACTCTTCATGTTGTCAAATTCTCAGACTATTCTTGGTGCCATGAGGGATGTGGTCAAATATAGAACTTCTATTTTCATTGCACACAGATTATCAACAGTGGTTGATGCAGATGAAATTATTGTCTTGGACCAGGTAAGAGATTTAACTTTAAAATTTAGTGTTTGAAGAATATTAGAAATTGTGATAGATAATAGAAACTTGAATATTATTTCTAATAAAATATACAGAATTTACATTCTTTGGATGAGAGCGAATCCTGATAGGATTCTAGTTTTGGTCCTTTTTTATAGGAGATAGTGCATGTCCCATGTAAAAATGAATAAACTGTATTAACCTCACTCTCCATTAAAGTGTTCAAAGATGAAGTTCGATAAGGAAAGCATTAAATCTTCATGTTAGAAGCTGATCTTCAGGGATATATATACAAAATAATTTTTCTGCATTGATCTTCAGGGATATATATACAAAATAATTTTTCTGCATCAATTTTTGCTCTGAATAGAATCTTCACTCAGTGTCTTCGTTGTATTACATATTTTCATTTTCTAATGCCTGTGTATATGCTGATGCCTAAAAGAAAATTACTGTAAAATAAAGTGGTCATTTTCAAGCATGACCATTTTTATTTTTTTTCCTTATGAAGAAAGTAAGAGAAAAGACAGATTGCTTTATTTTTCTCTTCTGAGGGAATTGGTATATAAGTGTGCTATCTAAATGTTCTGAGCAAATCAGACTCCCACTACTGTGATTGGTAGACTTCAAAGTTGCAGTGATTTTTCTTTTCTCCTCTACAAGGACCTCTTCTCCTCCACCCTCCAGAACTTGATTATTTCTGACATTATTCAGCCTTCTGTCTCACATTCTACCTTTTCTGTGATTATTTTTTCTTTCTAATAAAGACATTCTTCTTTTTAGTTTTTACCATAGGGCATGTGGTTTGCTTGCCACAGAGAGAGAGAAAGTGAGAAATAACTCTCTAGGGGGAATGGCCACATTGCAATCCCTTCTCCTCCAGTCTCCTCTCAGGATTTAGGGCACACACGCTGGTGTGAGTTTCAAGCCACCAGGTCTGGGACTCAAACCATGGTCAACCATGTGAGAGTCCAGCTCCTTAACCACTGTGCCAACTGCTAGCCCTCATTCTTCAATTCTTTACGATTTTGAGAACCTGTGTACCGAGGGTTCAGAGAGAAGTATTCTTATATACTTTCTATATAGTGAGTTATTGAGAGAAACTTTGTTCTCCACTAAGATTTCTCTTTTTTTATTTTTTCATTTCATTTTCTTTTATACATTCAATTACATTATTATTTGGCTTACAAAATGGATATTTCTCCCTAGTACAGTTGATAAAACTACAAAATATCTTCAGCAGATAATACCACATTTCTGTGTCCCATTAATGCTTTGCCTCCCTATTTTTCTTCTAAATGTCCTTCCTCAAACCCTCCTCTTTCACACACACTGTATCTGGTATTTACATCTATATACTGTGTTTCTATATCCTTTAGTCAATTAGTTTCAGTCACAGAGTATGGACACTTTATAGGATGTTCAGTGCTGTGGTATATATACTATTTCCCTTTAAAGTTACCTATACGCTTGTCAACCTAGACCTTTCTTTTTGTTTGTTCATAAATGCTTACATTTATTAGAAAATAAACTGATTTCCAGGGGCTAGCAGGTGGCATGGTAGTTAAGCATGCAAGACTTCCACGTGATCAACCACGGTTTAAGTCCTGGACCTGGTGGCTCACTCGCTCACTCCCTCTCTCTCTCTCCTCCTCTCTTCCTCTCTCCCTCTTTTTCTTGCTTTCTCATTCTATCCCTCTCTGGTCATTTAAATAAATAAATAAAGTTAAATAAAATAATTCTTTTAAAAAAAATAAAAGAAAACTGTTTTGTTTTGTTTTGTTTTCCCAGTATGATTGTACCAGGATGTCTTCTTCTTTTTTCTTTTTTTCTTTTTTCTTTTTTGGAGAGGTTTTTGCTATAGGATGCATATGCTCGCCAGAAAGAGAGAGAGAAAGCAAGAAATCACCCCTCAGGGGGGTGGCTACTCCGCAATCCCTTCTCCTCCATTCTCTCAGGATCTTGGGCACGCACGCATACACGCCCAGCATGAGTTTAAGCCACCGGCTCCAGGACTCGAATCGCAGTTGACTACATGGGAGTCCAGCAACATAGCCATTACACTAACTGCTGGTCCCACCAGGATGTCTTAAATGGCAAATTTTGCTAATACACCTATTAAATCATTGATGTTCCAAAATCTGGGGGAAAAAAATCTGTTTTGTGCTTCTTACTAAAACTTCCCAATTCTACACAGAAATGTGGTTAGGACCTTTTCTTACTGCATATAAAATGTTAAAATGCCTTAGCAGGCATGTATTTAACTGTTTTATGCCATGAGGTTCACAGTATCTGTACAGTTATATCACAATTTTGCTGCTTGGGTTTTAGACTGTAGTTGAAACTAATTTATTAATGAGCATTTGGCACCTGTACCTAAAATATCATTTTGTTTGTAATTTGATGATTCTATAATTACTTGATAATGAAAATCACAGGTTTTCATTTTCTAGTAAAACTAATGTGTCTTTAGTTTTGACTAGGGGTTTGTCATCTCATTTGTTCTGTCAGCAGTCTCTTGTAGTATTAGTGCTAAGGTGGCATAACAATAGGGGACATCTAGGTAAACATAGAAGATTAAACACATTTGTTTATCTCTTTTGCCCCCAAACAGAGCAGAATTAAAATGAAGGAATGAAATAAGTATAATAAGTTCAAATTTATAAGGATAAAGACAAAAGGAGAGGAAATAACAGTGGACAAGAGATGTTAGCAAATTTGGCAAAGATGATAAGTAGATAGAGAGATTAGCAAAGCTGAAAGAGCATAAAGTGCAAGTTGATTCATGCCTGAAAAGGTTTAGGAATTGGAGATACCACAGGTGTCATGGATAGGGGACATAAGCATGAGGTTGATAATAGCAGAATTAAGTGTAAATCTACATACATAATGAAATACAGTTCCTGGAGTCTTAGACATTTACCCCTTCCTAGTGTTCAAGCACATTAGCAAGGAAGGAACAGATTAACTAGAAATCAAAACATATCAAAGGATAGAACCACATACCCTCTTGTGCCACTGGTTCTAAGAACTTTACCAAGTAGCTATTTATTTATTTCATCACCATTTATTCCCTTATCAGCAGATAATTAGAGCATACTTCTAGAAAAAAAAAAAAAGTAGCCCCAGAAAAAAAGATATTTGTAGTAGGGGACCCCAGCAAAATGTCCAGATAACTATGTGATCATCCTAGAGTGAAGCCCACTGATCAAAAATGCCATTTCCATGCAAAAAGGGAAGAGGAAATTATCAAAAATATACTACTCAAAGGATGTCTAGAACTTGACAGCAGTAGTGTCTGTGTTGAAAGAGCCTATCAAGTACCCATGACAATAAATAGAAAGGAAAAAATAAAAGACACACCAAGACACATTATCATACAAGTTCAGAATTGAGAATATAGAAAAGATCCTAAAAGCTTTGGAGGAATATCTCCAGAGTGAAAGGAATTGAACTAATAAATTGCCTAATATAGCTGATTATGAGAAAAAGTAGTATTCAGAAAGGTTTTATAATTCTGGAATAAACTTTAGAGAGATTTATAGTAGTGACATAAAAAACTAACCAAATGAAAAACAAGAAAATTACTAATTCTAGGAAGAAAGAAAAAGTCTATGAAAAACTATTAGGTTGTCAGAAAAGTCATGACATATTTTTGCATAGAAAAAGTATGTCATGAGTTTTCTGACAACACAAATTTTTTTTTCCAGAAGCTTGCTCCAATATATTGGTTCATTGGAAAAGTCGATGCATTTTTGCATAGAAAAATATAACATGACTTTTCCAACGACCCAATATATAAAATCCTAGTACCTACTTGGCTCAACAGAAAGTACTTGCATAGTCATGATAAGGTAAACACTCACTAAAACGTGTGATATACAAGGAGTCTTCAGAAGGTTTATGAAAAATGGGGGTTAAAGAAAACTATGGATTTTTAAATATTTTACACCAAAATAAACTCATACTTTAATTTCATTTTTTCCACAAACTTTTTGAAGTAGCTGGCATTATTTAGGAGAATAAAGAATGAGGCAATGGGAATGTAGAAAAGTATAAAAATGCTGAATTTTCATCTTCCAAAATGGTAGGTCAATAGATACTGCCATAAATCAGTTAATCAAGAAATAGCAGTGTAACCGTGTATGTGTATGTGTGTGCATACATGTGCATTATGGTTTGGATGATGGTTTGTCCCCTAAAATTTCATGGTTTGGAATTTGATGTGGGAAGTGGTGAGGTCTAGAGGGCAGTGACTGGATGAAGAAAAATGCATTACGGAGGCAACAAATCTCATGAATACATTAATGCTATCTCACAAGACCTAGTGAGTTCCAGCTTTTGTGAGAAGGGGCAAATTCTCGCAAGAGCTGTTTTTTTTGTTTGTTTGTTTGTTTTGTTTTGTTTTGTTTTCTAATAGTAGAACTATCAGAATCTCTCTCTGTCTGTCTCTGTACTTACCCACCATGCTCTGTGCTTCTGTTGACTATATTGTAGGCTGACCTGATACTAGGGCCACACCTTTACACTTTGTAGCCGTCAGAATTGTGAGTTAATAAGCTTTTATTTCTTTATAAACCACTTAGTCTCAGGTGTTTCTGTGAGCAATGCAAAAATGGAACAGTATATATGTATGTGTGTATGTATATCCTCAGACATGGGCACAGACAAACTTCTATTATTTTACCTAAGGGTATATTTGTAAAGATCCCATCACCAGGACTATCAGTAAAAATGACAAATTTCTTTGTCTCCTAGCATGTTTAACAATAGCTGTCAAGAAATTAATTAATTGTAGATCAGGGTTCAGAATCCGTGCTAAATCTGCAATGTTAAGTTTAATTGTGATTATTAACAAAAATAGCTACTGAAAGAAGTAAGCTTAATTTTCATGAAATCTTTTTAATTTCAAAGTACAAATAATGACTTTTGAGGTATTATTTTTAAATCCTTTACATCCCTGTATAAATAATAGTGCTTTTGATTTGAATATTTGCTAATTACAGAAAGTATTCCCTTTTTACATTATTAACCTTCACTTTCTGCATTTCAGAATGAAAAATAACATATTAAAATTTTATTTTCTTTAAGCAAAATGGTGTTTATGGTATTGGTAATTTCATACTGTTTTCTTTGTTCACTAGGACTGGGAAACTCAAAAATAAGGAAAGTATTCCTGTGTTAATTTTTCCCACTTATACAATGGATCAGGAATTAGGGAGAGAGATTTTAATAAATGCAAATCCTATGTGTTTTTAGTTATTATGCCAGTTAAATGACCTTTTTTGGTGTTTCTTTGTGTTTTTTTTTCTTTTTTTTTAGGGTAAGGTAGCTGAACGTGGTACTCACCATGGTTTGCTTGCTAACCCTGGAAGTATCTATTCAGAAATGTGGCATACACAGAGCAACCGTGTGCAGAACCATAACCCCAAATGGGATGCAAAGAAAGAAAATATGTCCAAAGAGGAGGAAAGGAAGAAATTACAAGAAGAAATTGTTAACAGTGTGAAGGGCTGTGGAAATTGTTCCTGCTAAGTCACCTCAAACATTTCTTTTTTGTTTTGGACTACACATTTGCACTGAAGCAGAATTGTTTTATTAAAAAAAAAATACATTCCCTATCTCTATCATCCTTATTTTAGATAAGATTTATTTAAAAGGATATTTGAGTCTTTTTTCCTTCACAATTTATTTAACTTGGTCTCTGTATTTATCCCCAAATGATTTTCTTGTTACTACCTTGGATATGCTCAATGCCTAATTTTGGTTATCATTTGACTTTACTCCATTATCCTTTTGAGGGCCTGTCATCCATTTGATAGCCATAACCAGATGAATCAGATTGGTCTCCAAATTTTTGTAGTGTTTAAAATCTCTTTTATGCTGACAATTTACAAGGAAAGTGTCTATTTCTTAAAAGTAAAGGAAAAAGGGAAAAAATATGACAGTGTAGGTTTATTGTTTTCCTCCTCCAACTGAAATACTTCATTGATGTGAAAATTAATTTATAAACACACTTAAAGTTAAAACTTGTCAGAAATAGATATACATTTAAAGTTTGGAATTCTTACTTGGTAGACAACTGACAATTTTTGAAGTATTTCCAACTGTATGCTTTTTGGAGCAAAAAAAAATTCTCATGTTGGTATGTAGAACATTTTTCATCATTAACCAATTCAATAACTATCATCTAGTGAGTAGAATTACAGTTTTCTGCCAAAATGAGGCAATTTTTAAAAGGTCAAAATTTATTTTCCTTTAAGATTTACAAACCCTTATGTAATTTAAGTGTTGCTGTATTGTGAGTGATCTGAAAAGCTTAGGAAGTTAATGGCCTTTTCTATTTCATCTTAAATGCACTTTTGCTCTCTGAAGTTACATAAAGAGACAAGTAAATGGACTGTTGTGTGTGCACACGTGTGTATGTACACCTGCTCACATGCATAGAAATCAATATCCATTTAAAAATTATTAAAGACCGTTAGGTAAATAGAGTATTACATATGTGTATTCTTTAGATGATTGGGACTCTAATCCATGTTGACACTTCAGAAGCACTTCATTACTAGGTCTTCCCTTTCTTTTTCAGTAGTTTTTAGATGAGTTCCTTTAAGTCTGGTTTAACAGTAGAAGCAAAAATAACATAATCAAGTTTTACCTGGCAGTAAAACAAAACTAGTTTTACTTACTAGAAAAAAAACATAATAAATGTTGGCATATGTTCACTTAGAAGAGTTTATCTCTTTTCTAATACGAATTTGCTTTAATTTGTCTGGTAGTAATTGTTTAGTTTGAAAAATTAGTGTATCTCATGAATGGTCACACTACCATATCTAATGAGATTTTGTATCTCAGAACAGGTCCTAAAGTACTTATTTTACTGGTTTACAGTTTTGATGTGTTTTAAATGATAGTTTGGTATAGGAGAGATAAATAATTTTGTGTCTTGTATTATTGATATTGGTGGGATATCTAAACTTATATAACTTAGATGCCCTCTTTTGTTATAAAAAGGCAATTTGATCTATAACTTGAAGCCAGAATTTCGTAGTTAGTCTTTGATAGCAATGGATGCAGGATCTTGCTTTTAGAGTTGGAGTTAACAGTGAAATGCATAATCAGCTACAAAATGAGTTGTGGGTTTTCTGGGAGTTTGTGTTTGTTTTTGACATTTCTTATTCTTAATCCATAGACATTATTGCTCTTCTGAAGAATAAAAAGTACTTCTTTTGAATAAATCAATTGCATTACTAGAAGTGTGGTTAAAGCATAGAAATTTTGCTTCTCTGTTAATTCCTTCTATTAATATATATTCCCAGTGATGGCTGATGATAAAGATTTAGCTTAACTGCATTAACAAGCAGATAAGGTGGAAGTAACCAATACTATTAATTTATTTTAAAGTGTGAATAGCAATGTTCAAAGTAAGCTATTTTATCCAAGAAAGATAAGAATGTTTTCAGGGTCAGGATAGTTTCCCCACTAAGAGACTTGAAGCTGTTTCTTGTTTTTGTTTTTCTTTTTCCTTTTTCTTTTTTTTTTTTTTCATATCATTGTAGGTGGTACTTAGGCCATTATGGTCATTAACTAGTATTTTAAAATAATAAAACCTTAAATTACAAGAACAAAACACAGTTACTGTAAGGGGGGGGGCATAACTAAGTTTTAATGACATTTCTCTTAACCATATCATATTAAGATGATTCTACACAGGACAAATGATAAACAAATTAATATGAAAAAAAGCTTCCTAGGATGATTCACTTAGAGGAAATGCCAAGAAAAAGGTCATTTAATTATAATGTACTAATTTTACATTACAATGTTACGTACTCACACAAAATGGTAAAGTGTAAAAAATTATAAATCAGTGTTGCGACATCTTTTTTTTAAATGCGTTAGGACAAATAAACTACAGTTTTGGAATATAGGCTCTGAAAATGGAGCAAGATGATAGGGTCTTATGTCCCTTTATTTTAAAGATTGAGATTTTTACATTCGTCCTAAGGGAATTCCAGTTTACAAAAATTGAATTGAAACCAAGGTAGTTTGGGATCATAAAAACTGGACCATATGCCTTACTGGAGGTTCTTAATATAGAAATAATATTGGTGAGCAGATGGCCTAGTCTGGAAAGTGTTAAAGAGCTAAAGTCTGAGGGTTACTTATGAGAATCAGAAAGAGGACTCAGCATTTGGACATGAAAAGCCCAGGATATGCATTTAAAAATAACATTTTGCATAGGGACCAGCATATGGTGTAATGGTTACGTCACCAGACTCCCACATAGTCAACTATGGTTGGAATCCCAGACCCAGTGGCTTAAATCTCACTCTGGATGCATGTGTGTACGTGCCTAAAATACCAAGAGGAGAATAGAGGAGAAGGGATTGTTGGGTGGCCATCCCTGCTGAGGGGTGATTTCTTAACATTCTGTCTTTTATGATTGCATGTGCCCTATAATAAAAATCTCTCTCAATTTTTTTTGTTTTAAATCATATTTTGCTTTAAAGGCAAGGTATTTAAAGATTGTATAATTCTTTTATTTCTAGATCACTTTGTCCATCTTGTTCCTGTCCTTACTATTTGCTGAATATGTCAGTAGCAATTTTTTTCCAGTTATATTTAAGGATAGCCTATTAGTAGTTAACAGCTTGTATATATTTACAATTGCAGTTTTCTTAAATGATAAAAGGTCCCTTTTTTGAGTATATAGATTTGGATGTCAACTGTATACTAAATGACAATATTAACTCAAATAAGCTGGTTAAAACTGGTTAGTTAACACAAAATAACTCAGCCAGGGAGGACCTTTATCACAGTTTTATAGAGCAATCTGTGCAGTAATTACTAAATAAACACCATGTTTTTGTGACTAGAATGAATGCCACTATTTCCTACAGTGCCCAAGGAAAATTATATTTTGTTGTTCACACACTCAGAAGTACAGATAAATAATAGACGCTTTGAGAGTATGGCCTTAAAACCTTATGCATAAGGTGAAAACTTGGAATTGTTTCAGAGTAAGTAATTGTTTGCAGAACTCATATTGTGGGTAAAATGGTAGCAAATTACAGTGCTTTCAGTTAGCATTAGGCTGTCACTTTTTGATGACCAGTCAGTGAAAGGCAAATTTCTGTTTCTCCCAGTTTCTCAGTCCTAATGATTAGGAAGGAAACCTTTAGGTGGAGAAATATCTTGACTGAAAACCATGCATTAAACTAGTGTTTTGATTAGTTAGGTAGAGTTGGAAACGAAGTACATGTTATAATTAAAACCAGGTTTGCAGTTTTGGGTTAAAAAAAAAAAAGTCAGTGGAATGTTTCCAGAGATCCTGTTCCCACATAGCTACAGTAGAATGTTTTTCAGTGATGACTTTCTATTCCATTTCTATTGCATAAAATCAGATTTTTACAGTTGGAAGGAATTTAGAGGTCATTTAATATAATTTCCTTATTCTACTCAAGATGAAACAACTTCAGGAGAAGTCACTGAACTTGCTAGAGACCAAGTTGAGATGAAATCCCTGGTTCCAAGCACCTAATTCATTATTCCTTATGCTGCACCACATTTCCACTCAGATATTATGTTGAAAAATATATTAAAGTACAGGACTCCCAAAATGATGAAGCAAGGATCTCAGTAGACCTTCTTCCCAACAAAATGACATTTTAACTGTTAAAATACAATTTTTTAAAAAGTTTTTGCTATAGACCGCATGCGCTCACCAGAAAAACAGAAAGACAGACAGAAAGTGAGAAATCACCCCCCAGAGGAGATGGCCACACTGCAATCCCTTCTCCTCCATTCTCCTCTCAGGATCTTAGGCACATATGCACACGTGCCTGGTGTGAGTTTAAGCCATCAGGTCCTGGCCTCGAACCACAGTCGACTACATGGGAGTCCAGCAACATAACCATTATGCCAACTGCTGGTACCAAACTATAATTTTTTTTAATGCAGCTATTTCAGGCTTGACCTGTATTCAGTGGTTAAGGGAGCCAGATCCCACATGGCTGACTGCAATCTGAATCCTGGCCTTGGTGGCTTATAAAACATACTGGATGCATGCACACATATGTCTCAAATCCTGACAGGAGGGAGAAATGGAAGAAAAAGGATTGTGTGACCATGTCCCATTTGGGGGAGAGCTGCTTTTACTTTCTCCTTCTCCCTCCTGTAACTTTTTGAGAGATTTTTTGCTATAGAGCATGTGTGCTCACTGCAGAGATGGTGAGAAATCATTCCCCAGGGGATGGCCACACTGCTTTCTCTTCTCCATTCTCCTCGTGATTTTGGGCCTGCACGCACATGCGCTGAGCTTGAGTTTTAAGCCACCAGGTCAAGGTCTCGAACCTCAGTCAACTACATGCAAGTCCAGCAATGTGTCTATTACACCATCTGCTGATCCTGTTTTTTGTTTCTATTTTTGTTTTTTTTTTTTTTTGAACAACCATTTAAAGTCTCTGAAAATTATTCTAAGAGCATATAATGTGGAAACAGTAATCCAAGACAAGCTATGAAATCTCAGGTAAGATCAGCAAGAATCTGTAGCCTTTGAGAAATAATTTGCTCCATACCACCATCCCCCATTCCTCACCTGACCAGGTCTTTGTTACCTGAATATTTTGCTCAGGAAGCTCTACTCTAGGTGCTCTGAGTGCTAAAGGTGATGGAGGTGGGGTTCCCTGTTCCCCTAGTTTCCAGTCTGGGGCCACAGTTTAACTCCAGGAGGGACAACTACCTACATTTTTTTTTGAGAGGTTTTTTTGTTTGTTTGTTTGTTTTCTATAGGCCCTGTGCACTCGCCAGACAGAGAAATAAAGCGAGAAATCACCCCCCGGGGGGATGGCCACGCCGCAATCCCTTCTCCATTCTCCTCTCAGGATCTTGGGCACGCTCGCACATGCACCTGGCGTGATTTTAAACCGCTGGGTTCGGGACTCAAGCCATGTCGACTACGTGGGAGTCCAGCGACATAGACATTACGCTAACTGCTGGTCCCTACCTGCATTTTTTATACCCTCCCCAACCCTGTGTTGCAGAAACTCTCCCAGGCAGGCACAGTCAAGAGTACTGGAGATCCCTTCTGCTACCCAGTTCCCCTACCGTTAGGGTGGAAACTTTACTCCAAGTATAAGCTGAGAATAACAGGGGCCTAATATTTTTTCTACTCTAGCTCACGCAGATTGGAGGTTTCACTCAGAGAGAAACTGAATACCAGTGACTTCTACCCTACTCTGTTGCACATTATAAGAGTGATAGTTTCACTCCAGAACAAATGGGCTCCCCCAGCTCCAGATCATTGGTGTACAGGTTCTGCCCAAGAGGAAAGGCATTTGATAAGGACAAAGAACTCCATAGCTTTGTCTGTGGGTACTGACTGCTTTTGTAACAGCATGAAGAACTCTATTCCTGTGGGTGTTGTCAAAGCCCATAGAAATCTTATTGGACAGCAATTGGGAAAAGCACAAGCAAAACAGAGCAGCCAAAAGTTTAATAGAAACATGAAAGAGAGAACCAAGAACCTTCCTGGGAGCACAGTCAACTCTGGGAGTTAAAAAGGCTGTGTGCATGTACTGGGTTACACTCATTTGAAACAATCAGAGTAAAACATAGACAAATTTGAAAGCATTTCCCAATACATGGCAGACAATGGCACAGGGTACTCAAACACATCTTTGACCAAGTACTGACTGACTGATAAGCGACTCTGACTTAAGGGTAACTCCTAGGAACACAGGCTTAAAATTACACTCATTCCTGATAATTTGGAAGACTGTCTAAGGCTGTGCCCTCTTAGAACAATCAAAGAGGGAACATGGATTAAAAGTAAACTCCCTGAACTATCAATAGCACACTCCAAGCACACACATATATCTAATGGCAAAAGGTAAAAACATTAGTGGCCATTAAATGCCCTGTGCCAATCCAGGGACAACCCTTACGTAACTGAACTGGAAAAGAATGTCAGGCTGCACACTGCAAGGGAAGTAAGCAATCAGCAAATTCTTCACAGGAGGAAGATCAGCATCCAGAATCGTTACACAATACTATCTAAAATCTCCAATTTAAAACAAAATTACGAGACATGCAGAGAAATAGAAAAGTGTGATCCATACACAGGGAAAAAAGAAGGCAACGCTGCCATAGAATAGGCCCAGATAATGGATGTAGCAGGCAAAAGATTTGTCGGCAAAGATAGGTAGATAGTTGATAGATTCAACTGGAAGTTCTGGGGT